GATATTATAACTACTATATCGTCGAAGTCTTAAATTGTAAGGGTTAAATTGTAAAAGCATTAGCACAACGAAATCATGACCGTATGAGTATATTTTAAGAGCATTGGGGCTTGTATGAGCCTACTAATATGCCATAGGATACACGGTAATTTCAGATGTACAGGAAAGAAAAATAATAAATAAAATAAACTTAATATATACCTGATGTAATTGTTAAAAAGAATAACGAAGTGCTAACTCGGAAAAACTGTATTGTTCTATGAAAATTTTTAAAAAAAATTCATTTTTTTAATCTAGCTGATGCAAGTGCGTAAAACCCCTTAAAATATTAAAAAATTCAAGTGAAATTTATTATTAAAAAAAAGCATATTTATCATATTACTCTTTAAATGACGTAAGACTAAAATTATTGTTTCTCTACTCTGGTTACATTTTGTTCTTGCTGTTCATAAATTAATTATTTGTTTCTATTTTAAGAATGACCGGGTTTTCTTTTCAAATTTTATTACTACAAGCTGTCATTTGTTCCAATTATTGGCGCCCTTAAATGTATGTGTCATCTCTTTATATTTATTCTACGCCAACTCATTGGCTTTAAGTTTTATTGTAGCCTTTCATAATACTGAATTTGATTATATCTGTCTTGGGATATGCATTCCTTGCATATTTTCTTAATTGGGAAATTTATAGGCTCAATAGGAAAAAGCAATATCTTAGATTAATTTATTAGTCCATGTTATTAGACTTCATGGCGTGTATTCGTCGCGTGAAAATATTTTCTGATAGAACGTTTCCATAAGTTCTAATCTACCGTTATCATTTCTTTCCTTATGCGTTATGCAATTAATTTGTACAAGCACTTCAACTTGGCTAGAGAAATAGTATTTAGTAGTTAAACATTGCAGAATAGTGCTTCTTTTAATAGTCTTGTGTTTTGTTTGTGTTCAGGTTTATCAATAGCAAACTTGAATTAAAAGTAAATTGTGTTTATTAACTCGCTTTCGTGTTCAAATCTATGGAATCTTGCGATTGAAATTTCGACTTTTTTACCAATATCACTCGAATATCTGGTTTGGTTCTGTGCCTGGTGACAATTTCAAATTCCAATTGTTTCCTGGTCTCTATAAGCAAAATTTATCGTCATTTTATAGCAACTGAGCAATTAGTTTGGGGTTTTATCCTTGGATCGGGCAAGGTTGACACAACCTTTCACCCCTTCAGTGGATCGATAAAATGAGTACCAAACATGTTTAGGTACTAAACACTAAGGGGGCACTGCGTGCGGCTTACCACCCAATCGGAACATCTGCGTCTGCATCTTAGATCCCAAAGTCGAGAAAACTAGGGTGGGCACAGTAGGCTTTGGCCCTTCATGGGCTGTCGCGCTAATGAGTTTAGTTTATAGCAACTGAATTTATCGTTACAGACTACTTTCCAACTAATTTGAGGGCCCAAATCTTATTTCTCGAGCTGTGTGCCCGATAGTAGCAACAGAGATTTAAATTGTTCCCTGATTGCTACGGACAGAATTTATCGCTTGCCAAAATCTTAATTGTTCTCTGACTAGCTGGAGTGCTTAAATTCGTTAGAGCTAAATGCTGAGTCACAGTTCAAGAATTTTTTTTCTGACCGCTACAAGTAGAATTCTTATCGCATTATATAATCGAAATTTCAATCACTTTTTGTCTAGCTAGAAAGCTCAAATTTGAACTGTTGCTCTGTCTCCGATGTCAATGCCCTAAGTTGTGCAAGCGATATTTATTATACATGAAAATTTTGATTACTCGCGGACCAAAGTTGTAGACACAAAACTAAAAAAAAAAAGAAAAAAAAGGGTTTTTTTTTCAAGTCGACTGAAAATGGGAAGCAATGAAAACAAAATTTAAGTTATCTTCAAATAAAAATAAAATAAAAAAAAATTTAACTTTGAAAATTTCAAATTAATTTTATTAAAAATAATAATTTTTAAAATTGAAAATCATGCTAAACGGAAATTTAATTTATGTAACCAACCTTCCAACCTCTCTTCACGATGATTTTTACAATACGTTACACCGGATACTCTAAATCATACGCGTCCGTAAATCAAGTCTGTAAACACATAAATAAAATCCCACACACATTATCTTCATAGTGAATTCGTATCTTGGGATCGTGGATCACGTAGCTAAACTTAATGAACTCGTTTGGAATAAAATAATTTTTTTTCAACTTCTTAAACTCATGATTTAAAAAAAAATATCGAATCTTAGCTTTTCACGCAAAAAGTTTAAGACAAGGTGACTGCTAGATGCACCTTCAAACTCTTTTAAAAAAGTATGTGGGCGTATTATCTTAAAGTTCATCATTTGCCTAGGTTAAATGGACCATTAAAGAGCTAAGACTTTTACAATAGTTTTGTACTGTTATTTATTGAAATTAATGCAGTTTTTTATTGCTTGATTTTTTTTATTTAAATGAAGACCCTTGTATTTAAAAGTACTCATTTTATTTTTTCCACCTCCAAATTTATTATTTAACTAGGTGAAAGAGTTTGTAAGTAAACTATTAGTTAAACTAAATTTAAGGTTAGGACCTAGGTTAAATGGACCATTAAAGAGCTAAGACTTTTACTATAGTTTTGTACTGTTATTTATTGAAATTAATGCAGTTTCTTATTGCTTCATTTTTTTTTTATTTAAATGAAGATCCTTGTATTTCAAAGTACTGTAGCGTATCAAGCTATATTAAAGAACTGTTAAGTTTTTTTATAAAAAACTTTTATTAACAAACAACACAAACAGTAACAAATATGAAGTACCCGTAACGGGATATTGAAAAGATCATAAAACAGCAAGAAAAACCCGTAACGGGATATAAGGAAACTCACCCGTAGTGGGATAGATAAAATATTATGAAACAACTAGATAAAGTGCCCGTAACGGGATATATGAAAACTCAAATTCCACACAAAACTAATTCTAAAAAAATCAACAACTTTCTGGTGTTCTAATTTTATCGTCTGCTTTTATTATTTCAATTTATCTTTTTATGTGTTTATTTTATTTATGCTTTTGCCAGCCCGTTAGTTTTTAATATTTTTACTTTTATTCATGCTTTTGCAAACCAATTATCTTTCTTATATTTTCAGACTTTACTCGTATAGTACTCATTTTATTTTTTCCGCCTCCAAATTTATTATTTTCCTAGGTGAAAGAGTTTGTAAGTAAATTATTAGTTAAATTAAATTTAGAATGAAATAAAAAGAGAAAACGAAGTGCAAGCAATTCACCAAAATGTGATTGACACCATATACTTGATAAGAGCAGATATCAAAGTGTGCATATGCGATTATTTTTCACATCTCCTCTAGAAGACAATGTCTCTGGAATGTTTTATCTCACAAGACTAGAAATATTGATTAACAGTACTTAACAAAAACAAAGAAATGAAAATTCTGGGAAGAAAAACACTTGATATTGTAACTATGGGATGAAGTGTCGTAGAAAAAAGAAAAAACAATTGAATTAACACCATCGACTTATGAAATATGCTTGCATTTGATTAGGCAAACATTTGTTATTGTTCCAGAAAGGGAACGATATATAAATATAAACACCCTTTAATAATGTGTGATTTTAATCATACATAAAGTGCCGAAGTGTTAAACAGTATCCGCTTTATTAACTTTTAATTAATCGAGTTATATGAAACAATTATGGGAATAGCGTTTTATCTGAAATCTGAATATGTAATGGATTATTGCAACCATGTTTAACTTGGTTCATTGCGTGAGTCAAAATAGAGGCTGTAATTAAAAAATCACAATTACTCTTTGTAGTTTTGTTGTAATACAATTAGTGAACACATCATTAAAAATTTTAAAAAAAATTGTAAGCATATACAAGTTGATATTAATAATCGTGAGTAAAAACTTAATTATTTTTTGAAGAGTAAAAATCAGATCTTTAGAGCCATTAGTAATTGATTTCTAACCGAAAATTCTTGCTCTTCACTTCTTGTGCATTGGTGCATTGTTAATAATAATTATAATTGGTGCATTGGTAATCTTGTGCATTGTTAAGGTTTATGAACTATTGTCAAGTAGAAGGACAGATATTACTGTACAGAGAATGACAACTAGTAGATGCCTCCAGAGTAGCAACGGGATTCGAAAACGCTACCTCCACGCTTCGCACAGCGTTTGGTGGGCTATACCGCTCGGCCAGGGAGGCCCCTGATAGCAAAGTAACAATTAAAATTACGCTTAACTTGTTTAATTTTGCTCGCATTTAAAAATTTCATAGTATGACCATCAGGTATTACATATATGTTAAAAACATTGTTTATATAATACAGTGGAGATCAAAATCATTACAAATAAAATTTATTCAATCAAAATAAAATTTAAAGCATAAAATTTACCGCCACTTCAATTATTATAGGAAAATCTCCAACGAAAACAGTAAAAGTTTTCATGTGATCCTTAAAACTTTCAGCCTATCCTAGTAAATTAGTGATATTATATTTTTTATTTAATTTGCAATAACTACAACTTATTGATAAGTTCACGAGCATTCATAATTATTTAATCAATTCATTCATTCATTTATTTAATCAATTTTCATGAGATACTAACCGGAACTAGCCGGAGTCAGAGGGAAGTAAATATTCTGATTTGGTGTTGAGTTATTTCAGGGATAAATACATCTTTATATACAATTTATTAGTATTGTTATTAATAATAAAATTTTATTAATTTTTCATACGTGACATTCAGATTTGCTTTTATTTAAAATGTCCTGTCGGTATTTAATTTTAAAATGTTAGAAAAATTTGGCCAGCAATTTTTTTCATAATCATCATAATTATCATAAGCTTCAGGAATTAAAAAAATAGCTTCAAAGCCATAATTTTTGCAATGGGTTCAGCTTCTTCTGAAATTTCTTATTAACATTGATTTCTTATGTAGACTGCGGTGTTAGTTACCGTAGATTAATTTAAAATTATTATAATTACAGCTGCAAGTTCCGATTGCAAGGTTCACCTTTGCTCCAAACAGTACAGTCGAGCTCTGGACGAGGACAATGTAGTTGAATCAGCAACGTACCGTTACTGCAGCCTACTGAAAAGTTACAACGATTGTATGGAAGCAACTGGTCGTTCATGTAGAGGTAACCTCGGATACCACTCCTTTCAGACCTTGATCTCTAACTGGGCAAAAACGTACAACTGTGAAAGTGTTTTGCTGAAGGGTCCACAACCTTCACGTGGTCCTAATAGGCCATCTGGGGGCCACAGATTCCAAAAACCTCCTAGGCAGCACCAGGAATGTAACTCGTACAGACCAGCCAGTGTTGCACCAGTGTCTTACAGCCATTGTGCTCTCTTTGGAGATCCTCATTTGAGAACATTTTATGACGAGTTGCAAACGTGCAGCGTGTCAGGTGCCTGGCCTCTACTGGACAATCCTCATCTTGCTGTGCAAGTCACCAATGAACCAGTTGGGAAAGGTTCCTCAGCGACTGCCATCACAAAGGTGAGGATTCTATTTTTTTTATTTTCGAAATTAAATTAAGCCTAAAAATTTCTCTGTCCTCTAATGAATTTCGTGATGGTAAAATCCATAGTGGCCAATATTTAAATTTACCAGCCATTAAACTTCTTGTTATGCGATTCGTTTCATATTAAATTCCCGAAATACTATGCTTGTAAATGTAACTGTGAATGACCGAAATTGGTGGTTTTTGACATCCGATGAATGATGACAATCACATTGGTAAACATCCAAAATATATACTAGGTCTAGTTAAGTGTCAATGTCCGGTATACATTTTTTTTTAAGGTTCAGTGCGACTGTCCTGTATGCCCTACATCAATGTTTTTTTTTTTTTTTTTTTTTTTTTTTTAAAGATCAAATGCCACTGTCCAGTATGCATTTAACTGGTACTCCAAATACTGATGTTTTTTTTTTCTAATCTAACCTCAGCAGATATTAAAATATCAAATAAATGCAATAATATCAACGAACAAATTAATATCAAATCGGATATAACAAATATATATCGGACACTCACCAAAGCGACTATTTAATGTTGACATTCACCAAATGAAAGTCGGATTTCTGTCATTCACGGTAAATATATATATCGAATATATTTGAGTTTAAAAAATTATAAATTTCGTGAAAATGGGGACATTTATTTTGTTCGCTTTTATTCTCCATGAACAAAATTAACTCATTTTTTTCCACTTTTGTTTAGTTTTATTCTCCTTTAAACTGCCTAGGATTACGTACTTAATTTGTTATAACTGTCCTTATTGGAGGTCCAATTATAGCAAAGGGTGTTCATGGTATAATGCATTTATTTATTTAATTTACGGGGTTACCAATGTAGTTATTTGCAAAAATTATTTAAATCAAAGATTCAGTTAATTAACTGAAATTAATTGTATTTAATGATGAGTTAACTAGTACATTAATTTAATAAGATTACGCAACTAATTAATATGACACGAACATAACGGTGTTCGTTGGTCCATGACCACTAAAATTTGAATCGGATCATCATAAAATGATTATCAGTCGTCCACCGGGACAGCTATTGATTGAAAGGAATGGTATGTTTTGATTCTGTGCTTTTAAATCAAAATAGCATATTTCAGTCATTAAGTGACCTTACACATTCTTTGAATTGTAACTTTTTTCTTTACAATCATTTATTAACTTTTGATTAATGAAAAATCTAAAAGAAAAGTGTTAGTCAATTTTAATAATTTATTTTTTCTTTTGAATTCGGCAAGCTTTTAAAGCTAACTTTTATACAGCATGTTTTATAGCGCTATTCCGAACGGCAATTTCTAATGAATGCAATTTTTTTAAAATAAAGTGGTAGTATATTATTTTGTTTTGTGACATGAGTTTATAATAAATAACAATAAAACTTTTGGCTCCCCCCTCCCCACAAAAAAAAGAAATGTTTTTTTTTTTTTTTTTTTTTTTTTTTTTTTTTTCTTTTTTTGTGAAAAGAGCGCTGGTCAGTAATTTAGTCAAAGATTCTGAGCAATTTCAGTGCAGAATTTTAAATCTTCTACACTACACAACGATCAGTGTATATCGGCTGGATAACAAAATTTCTTTCAGAAAAATAATTTTTTTTTTTTCTTTAAACAGGTTTATCTCTCTTTTTTTTTTCCTTCTAAATTCATTTATTATTTCGCACCTGTGGGTTGACGGATTTGGACCTATAAATATAACATTTTTATTAAATGCTCTGGTCCCCTGTAGTGAAAAAATGAAAAAGAGCCTTGGGGTCGGCGCTCCCCTTGCAAAAGACCTTGAAGCTCGTTAGTTTCCTCCTCCCTCTATTTCTTTCCCTTCTTATTTCCGAGTCCCTGCTTTTCTTGTTGATATGGTTCCCCTTCTACTCTCAACCCGCATACCGAGGCAAAAAAAAAAGAGAAGAAAAAAAAGAAGTGGTGGGGAAATCTTCTCACTTTTTTCTTTTATTAGTGGATAATCTACATTTTTCTCCCATTATAAGAATTTTTGAAGAACTGAATTTATAAAAGAAATCAAAATTGTTTTATTATGCAATGCGCCATTGGAAACAATCCATCAACGCAAAGCTTTCTTTAAACATTAACGTTGAGTTTAGAACTAATTAAATCGTTTGTGTACACAATAATACAGGGTGGTTATGACTAAAAAAAAAATTCCATCTGAAAAAACTCCAAGTAGGTTTTTTTCGTATTTGCTATTTATTGTAAACGAATCAGCATTGAATATTAAGTTTTTAATAGAACAAAATACCAACTCATTGCATTAATACGTTTCAATTCTCGTTACTTTTATATTTTACTAAGCCTTAAAATTTTAATTAGCCTTCTTAAAATCATGCATAATTGGATATTGCAAACAATATGCTAAGGTATTCTCACAAAAATGTATTACAATTAAAGCTGTTGTTAAAAGATACAATATAATATTTTTAGAATCGCAATTGCAAATGATATTCATAATAAATTATATTAAGAATTACGGTTATTAATGGTTAATTATTTATTTAACTAATGTTACTTATTAATACAGCAAAACTTACTCTGAAACCTTAAAGAATAGAATAAATGATGAAAATACACACTTAACTTAAAAAAAGCCCAATAAAACCCTGAAGAAAAAAAAACAACAACAAAAAGTCTGGGAAAAAACCCCTAGAGGGTTGGGGTTTTTAACAACTAAGCGATAATATGTTTATAGTAATCTCTAATATTGATCTAAACTCATTTAGTTGTGTAACGTAGTTGCTAATATTAGCAAATATGTAGAATAATAGAATGCTTATGCTGCATTTGCAATAGTAGCTTGACTTGCAATTGAAGGCCCTATTGTTTGGCAATGGTAAGTAGCCAAGAGGAAATATGAAATATAAAAAAAGTGGTAACAAATTTGGGTTAGTGCAGTGCATAGATTTTTCGTTTTTTCGAAAATTTTAATTCGGGAAAATGTTATGTATTTTCACCACTGACTACAGTTAATTTGGGCTTTTAACTCTAAAGTTTGAAAAATATTTGAACGGTATTACATTAAATTAATTAAAATTTATTGCATTTTAATTAGATTAAAGGTTCTTGTAGCTCATCCAAAGGGAACTTCTTTAAAACTTAAATCTACACCTTAAATAAGCTATATGCATATTAGAATATGTATTATTTAAAAAAAAAATTCCTTTCTTCAAATCTTATTTTGAAAGTTCTTATATAGAAAATAAAGTTGGTCTTTTTTTAAAACATCATTTAAAAACATCATTTAATACATCATTTAAATTTAAAAATTATTTTTCATGCCATTAAGTTAAATTTGACGTAAAATAATAAAAATATTTCTTGCAGTTAATTCTTAGACGAATATTTAATTTTAAACTTGCTGTGTATACTATGTATCGCTAGTATGTATAATTTTTATGAATAAAAATTTTAAAATATTAAATGTATAACAACTCCCTTTTTTAAAATAAAATTAATAGTTTTGTTTTAAAGTAATTTATGCACTTTTTAGCTCACTTCCACAAAGAAAATTAATTAGAATTTAACGTTGCATAATTATTGATAAGAATCTGCGTTATATTGAAGTAATTGTATACCACTATTTTAATTAAATTTAAATTAATCTTATTTCAAAATTTATTTTACATAAATTTAGAGATGAAATTTGCAGGGCCTTAAACTGCTACAATTTTCGCAAAAAGATACTTATATGTCTTATAGGTATAGACGTCACGAGAGAGCTGGAAAAAAAAGTGGCGTTTCACATGAATCTGGGGATGCCACAGGCGTCTAAAAATTTCAAAAGTAGTAGATACTCAATTCACTTTTGTTTATTTATTATCTCTTTATTATTCAGACGTAACTACCACAAATACTTATATTTAAAATTATTCATCATTAGAACAAAAACGTTCCATGCATACATTTTCAATATAAAAAAATAAGCTAAAAGAAGTAGCTAATTTTAATCTTATTTGATAAAATTGTGAATTTTTAGTGTCTCGTGGCAACTATGTATGAACAGTTAAATAATTTACATAGAGTGATGTTGAAAATAATTTTAAAATCAAATTTACAAATCGAAGAACCATACATTAAAATATAAGCTTTGTCACAAAAAGAAATTTCACCTAAAAGACAAGAAAGAAGAAAACCCTGCATTTGTTAGCACCCATTCTGTAAACAAATGCTGAAAAAGTTTTTAATTTACTACCACCATTTCAAATAAATAAAAGTTTAATTATTTAAAAAAATAAAAATGGCAAGTAGGTAGGGCGTTTGTACTCTAATGTCACTCCGAATTTGGAAACAAAAGTTTTCGGTAAAAGAGATCTTATGGGGTCGTAAGTCTTCAGTGGGCGGCTGTTTGTGCCCTTCGCACTTTTCGCGGGATGGTGAACATAAGAGTGAGGGGAAGGGGTATGGTTGTAGAGATTTTGTGACGTCACGGCACCTGGGGCTGACGGCTGAGAGAGGTAAACAAGCCGACGGGACTCAACCATTTTAGAAGACGAGGGGGAAAGGATGCGTTACGGAAAATGATAAGATGTTACCAAAATTATAAGTGTGATGCTTTTTTCTCCGAGGGCGATTTTATTATTTTGGCATGATAGTTATTGTGAAAAGTAATCTCCCTCCCCTTCTTAACTCCCTTTCTTTTTTTCATGCTAGGATCATGATTATTGAATAAAAATGTAGTGTTTTGTTTGTTTGCTTTTGTAATGTTAAGATACTTTAACTTTTATACCATTGTGATTTAAAATGGACTAATCTTAAATAAAGAATGATTCATTAAAAAAAATTTTTTTATTTTGATCTGCATTTTTTTACTAAATAAGAATAATTAACTGACGTTTTATTTATCTTTTTGTACGTTAAATACTTACATTTTTTCGCATATTAAAGCTGAGCAATTACATCTTAACTGAGGTGCTTTGTTATTTGTTTTCGATTGAATCATTTTTAACGAAGATGCCTGTTGTGCCTTGTATA